TTTGTAATTCTATCTATTGTTATTAGCAGACACTTGGTCTAATTTATGTGATCCCTTCTTGTGTTTGGTCTATGTTATTTCCAGAAATTTGTCTTCTAATTCTGATTTTCATTCTTCCATCTCATTTGTTCTATTTTTGAGACTATCTACTGTTTTTTTTTCTATTTGCTCTATTGAATTATCATACCTAGAATTTCATTTTAATTTCTCTTCAATATCTCAATTTCTTGGGAACACTTTTCACTTAGGTCATGAACGTTTCTGATTGCTTTTAAGTAATCTAATGATTAATTTTCTGAATTCTGTTTCTGGCATATCTTCAATCCCTTCTTCTTCTGCTTCTATTATTAAAGAGCTGATGTGATGTTCCATTCTGGGGTTAATACTATCTTTCTTAGTCTTCTTATTAAAAAATTTCCCCTTGTTTTTCAGCATTTCTGATTGCTTTTATCTTTTTTTTTTTTTTTTTTTTTTGACAGGCAGAGTGGACAGTGAGAGAGAGAGAGAGACAGAGAGAAAGGTCTTCCTTTGCCGTTGGTTCACCCTGCAATGGCCGCCACGGCCAGCACAAGTGCTGATCCGAAGCCAGGAGCCAGGTGCTTCTCCTGGTCTCGCATGCGGGTGCCTTTTATCTTTAATATGTCTTGGTGCTTGTGGCAGATTTCCCTTTGCTATGAGCTGCTATGTGTCTATGCGTTACTAGTGGAAATATGTACCCCCAGCACTGGAAGTTTGTTTCACTTCTGAATAGTGATGAGTGCAGATAGGAGAGCTCTGGTGTGCTAAGCCCTGCCCACTTGGGCCAGGTGTGTGAAAGGAGCTAGGGATTTCAATGTTTAGAACTTCTCCCAGTAGTACAGTTCATGTGGTGGGGGGGGGGGGGAAGATACCCTGAAATGTTGCGATCTTTGTTTCTGGGTTGGGGGTGTGTGGTGAAGAAGCCAAAAAATAGAGGAGTTTGTGCACAGAAGGCAAATACAGAGCACCAGCCGGCTGCAGATACTGTCGTGGGCAGAAGACATGGATGGGCAGCAGTATTCTTGAGTTCCCCGTCTTTCCCTCTATTCTTCCCTCTTGGAATTTCAGTTTGTCCGGTTCTCCTGCTTGCTGCTAACCACAGACCTGTGGATCTGCGACTTCGTGCTCACCTGGTCCACCAGGGAAGAGGGGCAGGTGGAGGGCATGGTGTGTGTCACCCTGTTCAATTTCTCCGCCACACCTCTGCTGTGTCTCAGTTACTCTTTGCTCACTCTGTGTGATCCTGCTCAGTCTCTGCTGGACTCCTGAGCTCCTCTGCTTGAAATTCTCGAGGCTCTGTAGCCAGCCCGTATCCCCTTTCCTTATTAACTATTTTCCCCAAAAACTCAAGAGCATCTTGTTGCTACGGTGCCATCTTGGCCAAGATAATATTTTCAATATTTGCAAATAGCAAGAAAATGCATCAAGAGTATGCAATGAATTCCTATGAATCTGTAAGAAAAAAGAAACCCAAATAAATAAAAATAGACTAAGTATGTGGATCACAAAGTAATACATAATGGCGTATAACTTAAAAAATAAAAATCTTCAAATTCATAATTAAATTAAAGCAAAAAGATAATGTATTTTGTTCTTCTAACAAGCAATATTAGAAGATTAGATAGGAGAAAAATTTGACACAGATATGAGTACACAAAACTCATGTGGGCATTGGGTCAAACAGTTAAGACAACTGTTGAGACACCTATATCACATATCAGAATGCCTGGGTGCATCACCGATCTCCAGCTCCTTTTACTTATTTACAGCTAATACAAACCTGAGAGGCAGCAGTGATGTCTCCATTGAATGGGTCCCTACCACCCCATGGGAGACCTGGATTGAATTCAAGGTTCCTGGGTTCAACACCCTCTCCTACTATGGCAGACATCTGGGGACTAAACCAGAGGATGGGGAACCTCTGTCTGCCCCTCTTTTTGTTTGTCTGCCTCTCTATATATCTTTCTCTGCTCTTGAAATGAAATGAAATGAAATGAAATGAAATAAGATAAAAAACTTTACAACCATGAAATTTTAAGGTTTAGAGTTTTTGAATGCAGATGTTCTAGAGAGTAACTTAGCCATACTTGGTAAAACTGAACATGCACACACGTTTTGTACCAATTCATATTTTGGATTGATTCTCACAGAAGTCCATAGGAGTATGTACTCGTTGCAGTAATGTTGTGGTGAAGGTGATCTGTTCTGGTCATGTGTGCATCTCTGAGATAGTGACTAGGAGAAATGCTGTGTTATGCACCACATGGAGTGCCGTGTATCTATTGTAATCATGAGCTAAATATGCACATAGTAATAAAGAGAGGTATTTCAATACAAATCATGGTGAGTGGGAAAAAGCTTTAAAATACACATAATAATACCATCTACATAGATTTAAAACACAGAATAATCAACTCTTTTGGAACTTTTACAAGATGAAAAAGGATGGTTGCCTATAAAATATTGTAAACTGCAGTATGACTGATGATGGATGGATGTGATAACAGAAAATGCAAATGGAAGAGAAATGCAAGTGGAGAAATAAAATAAAAAATAAGAGCAAGAGTGAGTTTGGACAGAGAAATAATAGTGTGATAGAAGCAAAGTATGTGAAGTTTAAATTCAGTACTCTACACTTGAAGAAAATTATACATGAGGGAATCACATGTGTCCCTGCTCAAATTAGAATTCCTATAAAAACCTATTTTTATTTCCTAAAATTTTTTCTTCTCAGCCTTTTGTCCTCTGTGCCCTCACATCCCACCATAATCATGACCTATGGGGTTCTGGAACATGCTGCTGATTGATTAGGACAATCACTGTAGATAAAAGGTTTTGTTTTTTTTTTTTTTTCACCTATCTTCAGCTCAGAGAGGCAACTGTAATAGTCGAATAGGAATGGACAAAAGGGAAGGTTTTTCCTTCCCAAATAGAAAGACAAACATGCTTGAAAACACCTCATGATCTGAATCATTTTTCCTTTCTCTTTTCTCCCAGCTGGAACCTACTAAGTATGATGTTGGTCCTACTAAGCTACCCCTTTTGAAATTATGAGTGCAAAAGTCACACAGCAGGAGTGGGGAACAGGAAGTGGGAAGGGTCTGGTCATTTCTGATGTTCTTCAGTAGTTATGTTAGTTTTATCTGCTCAGTCTCTTCTTTGATTTGAATGTCTTCTACATAACTCACTGATATTTCATGGACATTCTAACACCATCAAGAGGCGGCACTGTTCAGGTGATAAATTATGATGGATTAATGTCATTATCATGGGAGTGAGTTCTTGATGAAAAGGAGATGTTTTGCCACTTTCCACTGTCAATCTCCTGAAAGTTTGCTTGACCCGCAGCTTTCCTAAGCACAGCAGAAGGCCCTTGCTAGATAAAGGCACACTTCCACTTTGACTATGACTGTGTCTAAATAAGATCAGAGTTGGTGAACTCAAAAGGCGTCCATAGCCTTGGCAACTCATGACAAGAACCTAGGGAGATTACTGACGCCATAAACAAGAGTGTCATTTGTGGCCGGCGCTGCGGCTCACTAGGCTAATCCTCCACCTTGGGGCTCTGGCACACGGGGTTCTAGTCCCGGTCGGGGCGCTGGATTCTGTCCCGGTTGCCCCTCTTCCAGGCCAGCTCTCTGCTGTGGCCCGGGAGTGCTGTGGAGGATGGCCCAAGTGCTTGGGCCCTGCACCAAATGGGGAAGCACCTGGCTCCTGCCATTGGATCAGCGCAGTGCGCCAGCTGCAGCGCACCAGCCGCGGCGGCCATTGGAGAGTGAACCAACGGCAAAAGGAAGACCTTTCTCTGTCTCTCTCTCTCACTGTCCACTCTGCCTGTCAAAAAAAAAAAAAAAAGTGTCAGTTGTTAAGTCAACAACAGGAGTCACTGTGCACTTACTCCCTATGTAGGATCTCTGTCCTTAATGTGTTGTGCAATGTGAAGTAATGCTATAACTAGTACTCAAACAGTACTTTACACTTTGTGTTTCTGGGGAGGTGCAAACTGTTGAAATCTTTACTTAATATATACTAAATTGATCTTCTGTATATAAAGAGAATTGAAAATGAATCTTGATGTGAATGGAATGGGGAAGGGAGCAGGAGATGGGAAGTTTGTGTGTGGGAGGGAAGTTATGGGGGGGGAAGCCACTGTAATCCAAAAGTTGTACTTTGGAAATTTATATTTATTAAATAAAAGTTAAAAAGATTACTTGATCTGGGGTATTTTTATATGAGCAGAAAAAATGCTAAACACTAAAATATATTTTATAAAATCTTAATCTCAAATTAATTTCATTAATATCATTGCTTCTACATTACTCAGAACAAACCCAAGATCAAGTCCATCACTTCTTTACTAGTATATTAACTTCATGACAAGTTTCTCTGTATCATGGATATACCTATGCTTTATTCTATTCATACAAGATATGAAATTTTTGCCAGCGCTATGGCTCACTTGGTTAATCCACTACCTGTGGTGTCGGCACCCTGGGTTTTAGCCCTGGTTGGGACACCAGATTCTATCCCAGTTGGTTGCTCCTCTTCCAGTCTAGCTCTCTGCTGTGGCCCTGGAAGGCAGTGCAGCATGGCCCAAGTGCTTGGGCCCTGCACCTGCATGGGAGACCAGGAGGAAGCACCTGGCTCCTGGCTTCGGATCTGCGCAGCACGCTGGCCGTAGCGACCATTTGGGGCGGGGGTGAACCAACGGAAAAAAGGAAGACCTTTCTCTCTCTCTCTCTCTCTCACTGTCTAAATCTGCCTGTCCAAAAAAAAGATATGAAATTTTGTGTATAATATACTCGCATTTGGATTTAATATGATGAATTAGCTATAAGGAATTAAGAAATATGTAAGAGATAATATTTGGATTCCACAAATTAAAAAATGTAGTTCTATCCTTAATTATGGTCGCTCAGCTTTCTAGTAGGCACACGCTATGAAATCAATGATTACTCTGAAATAAAGGAGATCAGACTATGTAGCAAATAAAGCATTTTATTAAGAAACTTCTATTTTTCTTCCATTTTAATGCACTCCAGTTATATATATCTGCACTTCTGCAGATAGATAAAATACAGAGACAGGAAAAGATATAAGAATGTTCATTTGCAAAATGATCAGAATAAGGTCTTCTATCTTCATTAGTGTAATGGACAATCTTTATCAATTGAAAGCAACCTCTTTGATATTAAAACAAGTGCCCAACAGACAAAAATTAATCCTTAATGTTACATTAAGGGATAAGAGGAATTTCAACTGAATTTGAACTTGGAGTAGTCACATCAAAGGCAAGGAATTACTTGTCATGATGATTAGCAGCAAGAGGTATAGCACCTTCTGTAGTAAAATGGTCTGTAACCATAGCAGCCAGAGCCATAGCCACAACCGTATCCACAGCCAGATCCATATCCACAGCCAGCGCTATATCCGCAGCCACACCCTAAACCATATCCATAGCCAGAGCCATACCCAGAGCTGTATCCACAGCCAGAGCCACAGCCACAGCCATACCCACAGCTGGAACCATAGCCACAGCCCAAGCCATAACCACAGCCAGTGCCATAGCCACAGCCATATCCACAGCTGGAACCATAGCCACAGCCAGTGCCATAGCCACAGCCATATCCACAACTGGAACCATAGCCACAGCCAGTGCCATAGCCACAGCCTCCATAGGAGTTCCCATAGTAGTTGTAACACATGGTGTCAGGAGGGGAGGTCAGACTTCAGTAAAGGTGTAGGAGGTTATTTCTGAAGTGTGAATGTCATCTAGTCTTCCAGGACCTTTATATACTCACAGGAAAGATGGGTCATACTTCCTGTAGACTCTGTCTCTCATTTTACAGCCACGTGCCTAATGAGTTCATTCTGTGTACAACCATTTGGTTAGGAATTCATAATTTACTCACTGCTTCCCCAGGAATTTATTCCAACCTTAAAAGAAAACAATGATACATTTTCCAAACACAAAAACTTATACAACCATAATTTTATCTTCCATAATTGCATTTCATGAACATGACAAAATATCATCAAAATATGTTTGACCTATGAATATGTGCTTGCTTGTTATTTTGCTTTTTCAATGTCTTGAAAATTGTCTATTACATAAAAAGTGGTTCTAACTACTACTAATCTAATCATCAACAACAACTTGGTTTCTTTTCTTCCTTTCCTAATGCATTTTTATGTTAATAATTATAAAATATTTTTCTTGTACTATACAAGATACCTAGCATATCATTATATTCACTTTCCAAGATACTTTTTTCACTCCCTCCTTTTGCAAGCACATTATAATCTTCTCTTCTTTCATTGGGTCAAAACATACTATTAAACACAATATGTTTATTCACAAAAAGAAATTTATTAATTTTTTAAATTAAAAAGGCAAGTTCAGCCAAGTATTTTATTTTGGAATTATATATATGCCTTGGTTCATCTAATTCTTTTTATCTAATACTTAACTATAACCCCACTGGAGGGGTGGTGGGTTTATTCTCATATTTGTGCTATATTTCCATGCTTCTTGCTAAAAAGTAGTTAGCCAATAGTTAATATTTCTAGACTCCATATCTTCTTTATTTTAGCCTCACCTGTTTTCTACAATAAAGTATTTTAATAATGATTAAATGAATACTACTTTGTATTGCTTACCTTGAATTAAAATTGGTTGATCTTTGATTGTTATCCTCTTGATAACTTGGTGTTTTTCCATGACAAATGGTTTCCTGGCCCTTGACCTCTCTGTCATTGAAAATTCACTCCTTATTTTTTCTTAATCCTTGGTTTTCTTGTGATAACTTTTTTTCCATATTCTCTTCTCTCTTCACATGCTAGTAAATTCTTATCTGATACCATGGATTCAGCTACCACATTTGCACAAATACCTAATAAAACTAAAGGCTCTTATCAGTCTGTATCCAATCAGGAGACAAAATTCACACAATACAATATTCAGAGAATGTCAAATATAAATAATATTAAATATAATAAAGAAAACTATATTATATGAGAACAAACTCTATTGTTCTTTGGGGCTGTGGGAGAATACTCAATGGTGAAATACTTAGAAGTATTGTACCTACAGAATAAATGATTGAAAATTTTTTCTACTCTAGTTAGCAATACTGCATTGTGCACTTGAAAAAAAAACTATGAAGACAATATATTTCATGTTAAGTATTGTTAGCACCATAAATGCTAACAAATACAGCAGGATGAGGCATTTGGAGCTTATGAATATTTTAAATACACTGATTGTGCTCATTTTTTGATCATTATAAACATATCCAAAGGCACCAAATTATATACAATAAATATGTATAGTTATGGATGTCAATTTTTTATGAGTGAAATCATTTAAAAAGAGGAAAATCATGTTCCATATACATTGGACAAGTAGGAGATATGCTCTGGAACACCAGTGGAGATGGAGGGATTGGTCAAGAGCCATTGACTACGTGTGGGCTGTAAGGCTCTGAAGGCATTGGATAGAGGCAGGTCATTAGAGACCTGATGTACATAGCCTATGCATTGGCTCTGGATCTCTACATGGGTGGGAGAGTTACAGGAATTCAAAGGGGGAGATATCTTTAAGGAGCTTTAAAAACAGGGGTCAATAAAAGTTATTGCCAGTTTGAAACTATTCTGTCACTAAGCATTTCACCCATTCCAGACCCAACAGTGAACTACAGGTTCCCCAAATGTCCTCATGGTTACCCTATTAAAATGTTCCACTTTCTCCAGTGTTGTAGCCAAAACAAAGCAGTTGAACTGTTTCCTCCTGCAATTTCTGTGGATATCATTTAACTAGAAAGCTTGAAGTTGTGCTTATATTTAAAGAGGAATGCTTAAAGGAATCTCATCAGGTATCACAGAGCATATGCTGAAGAGTGAATCTGAAGCTGAGAGACAATAAATTGAAAACTGGCACAGTCTTTTTTCCAAGTTTCACAGGCTATGCAGTAGAACTAGCTTTTTCTGGCAAACAGATTGTTTAATTTCCTGGCTAAGTCATTATTAATTATATGACCAGGTTCTCAGTCTGTGCAAACCTGTTTCTGTAAATGCCCAATGGAAATTAAAATAAGAATATGTACTTCAAAATTTGTCAAAAGGCAAATGCAAGGAAATATTAAGGGTATAGTACAGATCCTGATAAATAGTGGAAATGATGCATCCGTTTGTTTTCTCCCTTTTATTTAACCAAATACATGTGTTCCCAGATAGTATCTTTTCAAATTTCTATTTGTACTTGTACTTATGTATTTATTAACTAAGCCTTAAGGTTTTCTTTATGTTGCTACAGATTAAAGTAGGAAATATATAATACAATATGTTTTTCAAAATCAGTTCCCAAAAATTACCTGAAACTCTCAGAAAATGAATTCCAATGTGATCAACCTCCATGAACTTTCTGGAAGCATTTCAAAACACAATGTTTTATGAAAATACAGAATCAAGCAATATGTCACACAGATTGGCTTTGTGTTATATTTAGAAGCTCAGTGACCTCAAAAACCCATTGATATTGCCAACATTAAACATGTCTACGTTCCCAGAAAGTCACAGGATTGCCATGTAAATGTAAATTCAGCATCTGGAATTTGGACTCAAGCATAATTGAAGTTTTCACTATAGATGAGTAACGTCTTCATCAAGTGGCCCCTCCTGATTCATGAGCTCATGCACTAAAAATCTAAAAGAATGTCACCAATAACAGTTTTAGGTGGTATCTTTTTTCCTCTTTCCATCCTTAAATATTTATATTTATAATGGACTAGTGAAAATGAATATTTATGGCATACAACATGATGCTTTGATACATGTATATACTGTGGAATTGTTAAATTAAGCAATTTAAGGTGTGTATTTCCTCAAATACTTAGTCTGTTGTAGTGAGAACACTTAAAATATACACTTTCAGCAGATTTTTTAAAATCTGCTGTTACAACAAATTTCGATCATGTGATTCTGTATCATTTACTATAGTCACCATCTGTACATTAGGTCTCCCGAACTTATCTGAAGATTGCCTGTTTATAACCTTTACTCACAATGTGTTCATTTCCTTATGCACTAGCTGTAGTCTATTCTCTTTCTTTGAATTTAATTATGTTGATTCCACATATAAGTGAAATCTTGTGATATTTGTCTTTTTGTACTTGACATTTCACTTAACATGATGTCCTCTAGGTTTACCCATGCTGTCATAAATGACAAATTTTCTTTTTTCACTCAATGATTTTACTTTTTTGTTCCTTCCTAGCTCGTGCATACAAATTACATGCATTTATTGAGTACCATGTGCTGTTCCCATATATGCGTATAGGTGGCCTCAAAGAGATAATTGAAAATGTACATTATCTTCTAATTCCATTTTCCTACCATCTTTTTGTAGCCCTGTCATACATTCTGCAATATTCAAATTAGAGTAAATATACTAATATCTAGCTCCTCATTTATCATTCCTCTATGGTAAAAAAAATCTTCAAACTCATTTCTTTTTTTTAAGATTTATTTATTTATTTGAAGGTCAGAGTTACACAGAAAGAGAAGAGGCAGAGAGAGAAAGAGGTCTTCCATCCGATGGTTCACTTTCCAGATGGCCACAACAGCTGGAGCTGCGCTGATCCAAAGCCAGGAGCCAGGAGCTTCTTCCGGGTCTCCCACATGGGTGCAGGACTTGGGCCATCTTCTACTGCTTTCCCAGGCCATAGCAGAGAGCTGGACAGGAAGAGGAGCAGCTAGGACTAGAACCCGCACCTATATGGGATGGCAGCATTTCAGGCCAGGGCGTTAACCCATTGTGCCAAAGTACTGGCCCCAAACTCATTTCTTCTTTATTTTATATACATACATAGTACATTATCATTTCCTATAATCACACTACTCTATAGTAGAACACCAGAAATTTGTTGGCCTATTTAACTGTAGCATTCATACCTATTAATCAATTTTCCCCTACCACTACTCTCCCCTACCACCAGTCTCCCCTGCCTCTGGTAACCACCATTCTACTCTCAGCTTCTATGAGATCAACATTTTTAGATTGAGTGACATCATGTGGCACTTGCTTTCTGTGCCTGGTTTATTCCATTTAACATAATGAATTCCAGTTCCAATCATATTGTCACAAATAACAATATTTCATCTTTTTATGCCTCAATAGTATTCCATTGTGCATGTAAGCTACACATTTTCTTGATATTTAGATTGATTGTATATCTCATCTTCTGTTTTGCTATTCAATGAACATGGCAATGTAAATATATCTTCAGCATATTGATTTCATGCCATTTTGATATATACTCAAAAGAGGATTGCTGTATGATACAATAATTCTATTTTTTAATTTTTGTGCATCTTCCAAATTGTTTTCCGTAGTGTCTGTACTAATGTACATGTGTTTTACTAAACATTCTATCCAACATCTGTCTTGTTTTTTTTTTTTCAGTAACAATCTTTCTAAGAAGCTCCAAGTGATACCTCATGATTCTTTTAATTTGTATTTCCCTGATAATTAGTAATGTTGAACATGTTTTTCATATATCTGTTGGCTACTTTGTTTTTTATTGAAAAATATTCTGAACAACAGTTTAATTTAAATTGTGGTATTTGTCTTTAAAACATTGTGAGTTGGTTTTTGTGTATGTTGTCACACAAGGTCTTCTTCCCTTCTAATGCATGTACATAACTAGTTTTCCCAGCACCATTTACTTAAGAGACTGTTCTTTCCGTATTTTGTGTTTTTGGCATCTTTCTTAAAAATCAACTTACTAGGTAGACTGCTATCTGGGCTTTCCACTCTGTTACATTGGTAATTGTGTCTGGTGTATGTATGTGTGTGTGTGTGTGTGTGTGTGTGTGGCATGCTGTTTTAATTACTATAGCTTTGTAGTAGATTTTGAAATCAGGTACTGTAATACTTAAAATCTTGTGTGTCTTGCCTAAGATTGCTTTGACTCTATGGTTATTTTGTGGTTCATATGAATTTTAGAATTATTCTTAGTTCTCTGAAAATCATCATAGAGATTGTACTAACTCTGTAGATTATTCTGGATATTATAGACATTTTAACAGTATTAATTTTTAACCCATTAACATCAGGTATCTCCCCATTTATTTCTATCTTCTTCAATTTCTTTCATTTTTTTCTGATTCTTAAAATATAAATTTTTCACCTCATTTAAATTTATTTCTAAACTTGCTAATTTTAAAAGACATGCTATTTTATTTGAAAGGCAGAGTTACAGAGAGAGACAGAAAGGTAAAGAGATAGATCTTCTATTCACTTGTTCCCTCCCAAATGGCCATAATGACTAGGGCTGGGCAACACTGAAGCCAGGAATCAGGAGCTTCTTCCACTGATTTCCCAGGGACATTTGCCGGGAGATAGTTCAGAAGTAGAGCAGCCAGGACTCACACCTGATCCCATATAGGATGCTGGCATTTCAAGTGGCTCCTTTATCTGCTATCCAACAGCATCAGCCCCAAACAAATAATTTTTTAGTCATTTGGAATGGGATCATTTTCTTGATACCTTTTACAGATAGCTTATTATTAATGTATAGAAGTGCTACTAATTCTGTATATTTGTTATGTATTCTGTCACCTATCTAAATTTATTTATTCCAAAGTTTTTTGTGTGTGAATTTTCTGGGTTTTCTTTATAAATAAATATATATATATGAAATATCATGTTGTATACAATAAAGTAAATTTAACTTACTTTCTGATTTGGATAGCTTTTTTTATTTCCTTTCCTTTCCATTCCTTTCCTTTCCTTGTCTTTTTTTCCTTGCCTCATTGCTTTGGCCAGGATTTAGAGCACTATGTTTAACAGATATGGCAAGAGTGGGCACGCTTGTCTGATTCCTAATTTTTAAAGTATCATCAGAGAACATGATGTTTGCTGTAGAAAAGCGGTCACAGTTTCACTTTTGAATATATGATATTAGTTATAGGCTACTTATATATGATTTTTACTATATTGAAGTACATTTCTTATATATCTAATTTGTTAATATTTATTATCATAAAGGCTTTGGAATTTTGTCAAATGTTTTCTATTGAAATAAGTACCTATTGAATTGAGCATTTTTTTATTCATTCTGTGGATGTGGCATATCACACTTAATGATCTAAGAGTAGTTAACCATTCTTACATCCCAGAGTTAAGTATCACTTGATCATGGGAACTGATTCTTTTGATATGTTGTTGAAGATTTTGCCTTTTATGTTCATCAGGAATATTGGCATGTAATTTCCTTCTATTTTTTTAAGATTCATTTATTTATTTGAAAGGCAGAGTTACAGAGAGAGAAAGAGAAGCAGAGAGAGAATTTTCCATCTGCTGATTCACTCCCCAAATTGCTACAACAATCACAACTGTGCCAAGCTGAAGTCAGGATACAGAAGTTCCATCAAGTTCTCCCATGTGAAGAAGGGACCCAAGCACTTGGGTTATACTCTGCTTTCCCAGGCACATTAGCAGGAAGCTGGATCAGAAGTGGGACAACTGAAACTCGAACTGGTACCCATATGGATGCTGGCATTCAGGTGGCAACTTTACTCACTATGCCACATCAGCACTCCTAATTTTGTTTTCTTATAGTGTTCTGTCTTTGGTAATGTGGGTCCATAAAATAAATGTGAAAGCATTGATGTGGAATTACATTTTTTTGAGAAGCTTGAGAAAAATTGGATATTGGCCATTTTTTAAGTCATTGTAGCATTCAGTCATAAATCCATTTGTTCCTAGGTTTAATTTGATACAGATACTTTCTTGCTGATTCAATAAATTTACTTTTCATTGTTCTATTTATATTTTCTATCTCATCATGATTTACTTTATATAGGTTATATTTATCAAGGAAACTATCCATTTTTAAAGTTATCTCATTGTTGGTATATTATTCATAATTGCCACAACTGATCTTTTATTTTTCTGAGCAGTCAGTTTTTATGTCTCCTCTTTGATTCTAATTTTATTCATTTGAATTTTATCTTTTGTTTCTTAATTGTTCTAGCTATCTAAAATCTGTTAATTTTGTGAGTCACAAACTAACTCTTAGTTTCATTAATTTTTTTCTATTAGTTTCTAGTTTTTCATTTATTTCTGCTGTGTTCTTTATTATTTTCTTTTACTAATATTGAGGTGACTTTGTACTTCTTTTCCTAGTTCTGTGAGTTATAAAGTTAAGTTGTTGATTTCTTTTTCTACAGTTATGACATAGGCATTTTTATATTAAAGTTCCCTCCTAAAACCGTTTTGCTAAATAACTTGAGTTTTAACCACTTGTATTTCCAGTTCTATTTGTCTCGAGATTTTTGTGAAATTGCTGTCCTGTTTTCCTTGGCCTATTTGTTGTTTAAGATAATGATGTTTAATTTCCATATATTTTAGTTTACTGATAATGCTCTGATTATTCAGTTTTAGTTTCATGTCATAACATTTGGAAAAGGTTGTTGGTATAGTCATAATCTTCTTAAAAATTTTAAGAATTGTAGCTTAATATGTAATGTGTACTGGAGAAGATTATGTGAGCTCTTGGTAAAAATATACATTCTGCTGCTCTTGTATTGAATGTTTTCTATATATTTTCAGGTCCATTTGCTCTAAACTGTAGTTCATTTCCAATTGGTATTTACTTACATTCTGTCCAGATGATCTTTCTATTGTATAAAATGGGTCATTGAAGTCTTCTACCATTAATGTGGTGCTAGTATCTCTGTCTTCAGATAAATTAATATTTGTATCATATATTTAACTGTTCTGATATGACGTACATATTTATTAATAATCATTGCATTGTGATGAGTTAACATTTTTATCATGCATTATGTCATTTATATTTTTTGACTTAATGTCTATTTATCTGGTATAGAGAAATCTGCACCTACATTCATTTGGTTTCAATTTCTATGCAAATTTTTTCTTAGTTTTACTTTTAACCCATTTGATTCCTTAACATTGAAATGAGTTGCCTGTAGGTGGCACATAATGAATCATTATAAAAAATCCATTCAGTCACTCTGTTATTGGGAGAATTCAATCCATGTATATTTTTACAATTTTCAAAAACTGTCAAATTTAAATACATATTGTTGTATCTTCATTAGCATGAATTTCTCTTTAATCTCCCTATTCCAAATCTTTATTCAAGCAGTACATGACATTTTATGGATATTTGTTTATATGTTTAGATACAATGTACTGTTAAAATATAAGTGATTAATAAATATTTGAGAGAGCCAAAATTTAGACATTACCTACAAAATATCTTGTGTTTTAAGTTGTGATATAGTATGCCATGACACCACAAACTCTGAAACCAATGTTGACCTTGACATAAGGGAGACATGAGTATTTAGTAAACAAAGTCTTTTATTAGGAAAGTATTATTTTTCTTTTTTTAGTATATTCCAATCATATGGTCCCCCATTTTCTTCAGAAGGCAACAATGCAGAGAAAAGAAAATAATCAGAATTTAAATTTATGAAATGATGAGAATAAGATCTTCTGTCTTCAATGATGTAACAGTATTTGAGCTCCAACAACTACAGACAAAAAATTAGTAGACAAAAAATAATCTTCACTTTGTAGTGATGTTAAAGGACGAAGAGTTTTTTTAACTGGATCTTAGGGTGGAGTGGTCATATCAAAGCAAATGATGATATTTGTGATGATTAGCAGCAAGAGGAATAACATCCTCTGTAGCAAATTGGTCTGTAGCCGTAGCAGCCATAGCCATAGCCACTGCCATAGTGGGAGCCATATCCACAGCCATACCCATATCCAGAGCCATATCCACATCCATAGCCACAGCCAGAGCTGTATCTGCAGCCAGAGCCAGAACCATACTTAGAGCCACAACCAGAGCCGAATCCATAGCCATAACCATAGCCAGAGCCATATCCACAGCCATAGCCATAGCCACAGCCTCCACAAGAGTTTCCATAGTAGTTGCAACACATGATGTCAGAAGATGAAGTTTCAGGTGAGGTGTAGGAAGATACTACTGTTGTTTGAATGTCAAGAACTCTTCCAAGACCTTTATATACTCACTGGGATGGATGGGTCATAACTCACATGGGCTCTCCTCTCTCATTTTACAAGCATGTGCCAAAAATGACTTCATTATGTGTACAAGCATTTTGTTAGGAACTCGTCATTTACTACTGCTTCCCTAGCAACTTTCTCTGGCCTTAAACAAAATAAAGATGCCTTTTGTAAATACCTAAATTCCTACAGATGTCATTCTTCTTTGGAAATTTCATTTCATGACCATAACATCATGTAGCACATAACCTAAACATGGAAGACCTATAAATAAGTGTTTGTTTGTCATGCTACCTTTTCATGCTCTTGGAAATAACTATTATACAGGAGGTCCTACTCAATGGTGTTAACTACCATCATAATTTTCTTCATTGTCATCATCTTGTTTTATTTTTTCCCTTTCCTAACTCTTTATTTTTTCCATCATAATCACACTATATTGTTTGCCATGTATCTTGGACAAGAAATTTAGTATTTTAACATCTTATATCTACTCCCTGAAACACCCTCCTCTCTGCCAAAAATCTTGTCTCTCCTCTCCCAAGAAGGCTATGGCTTCTTATTTCTCTGGGTATGTAGGGAAGTTAATCAATTATTATTGGAAGGACAATGTTTCCAAGAGTTTATTAAAAGGGAACAAAAATTCCCTGGCTAAACATCTTTGCTGTTGAATTAATTTCAAGTCTTAAATACAAGTCTACCTATGAGTTTACTCATAGTATTGTGAGATTTCTATTATATATCAATATTTTCAAGTAAAATTTAATCAATCAATAGTTAACACTGCCAGATCAGTTGTTTATCCTAGAAGTTATGATGCCTAAATCCTTTATTGTAAGACCTGGATTTGATCATCTGACTACTGATTCCAGCTTCCTTTCAATGCAAGTTCTGGGAATCAACAGCAAAGGTTCAAGTAATTGAGTACTTGCCATTCAGTTGGGAACCTGGATTCTGTTATTAGCTCGTCACTTCAACTCCATCAAATTCCTAGCCTTTGCATGCTTTTGATGGAATGAAACAGCCAAAGAGAGCTCTGGTCTCAATTTTTCTCTCAAAAAATTTTATGACAATAACAGTTAATACTTCTATATTAACAGAGCTTATGTGAGGAGAGATTTTCAAAGGATACAAAAATTCAATTAGATTGCAAGATAAGTTTGAGTGATCTATGAACAGCATGATTACTATAAAATATATCACTGTGTACTTCAAATTACAAAAAAATTCATTTTTAGAAATCTAAAAGGTATCATACAAATACTGGTAAATATGAGAAGCCAGTATTGTAGTGCATTGGGTTAAGCTGCTGCCTGTGTTGCTAACATCCCTACGAGGTCTGGTTTGAGTACTGGCTGCTCCACTTCTGATCCGACTCCCAGTTAACGCATTTTAGAAAGCAGTAGAGGAAGACCCAAGTATTTGGGGATATCCAGATAAAGCTCCTTGTTTCTGGCTTCTGCATGATCCAACCCTGGCCTTTGCAGTCATTTAAGGTGTTAAACAACAGAAGGAAGATCTCTCTCACATTCTCTCACTCTTACTCTGTCTCTCCCTCTCTCTGTAGCTCTGTGAAATAAATCAATAAATATTTTTTTTTTGACAGGCAGAGTGGACAGTGAGAGAGAGAGACAGAGAGAAAGGTCTTCCTTTTGCCGTTGGTTCACCCCCCAATGGCCGCTGCGGCCGGCACGCTGCGGCCGGCGCACCGCGCTGATCCGATGGCAGGAGCCAGGAGCCAGGTGCTTTTCCTGGTCTCCCATGGTGTGCAGGGCCCAAGCACCTGGGCCATCGTCCACTGCACTCCCTGGCCACAGCAGAGGGCTGGCCTGGAAGAGGGGCAACCGGGACAGAATCCGGCGCCCCGACCAGGACTAGAACCTGGTGTGCCGGCGCCGCTAGGCGGAGGATAAGCCTAGTGAGCCACTGCGCCGGCAATAAATCAATAAATATTTTTTAAAATGTTAAAAATAAGAGGCACCATTAAGCCAATCAGATTTGATTCAATCATTCCACAATATTTTCTTTTTTCTATCTTAAATTTTTAGTGTTGTTTATTTAATTTTATTTACTTAAAATGCAGAGAGACAAGGACAAACATAAAAACATCTTCCATCTACTGGTTCACTTCCCAAATGCTTGCAGATCCAGAGTTGTGTCAAGAAAAATCAGCAGCCCAGAACTCAATTCATCTCCACATGGGTAACAGGAACTCAAGAACTTGAATCATCACCTGCTGCTACCAGAATGCACATTAGCAGCAACCTAAAATCAGAAGCAGAGCCAGGACTGAAACCAAGGCATTTCGAGATGGGATACAAGCATTCCAAATGATACCTTAAAGACTTTGCCAAACACTAACTTCTACAAAGCATTTTATTGTTTATCCTCCTGTGTCTTCTCTAAACCAAAAGTTCAATATGGATATTTATATTTCTTTTGTTGGGTTCTTATAATTATGACATTAATAATATTTGATCTTTCAATGATATTTCTTATCCGTTCTTATTTTAACATGATGCCATCTTCCACCATTTTTTCCATGATAAGTGTGTTTCTGGTCCATGACCTCTCTTTCGTTGACAATTTTCCCTTTACTTTTCTCTAAGCTTGAATGTTCTTGAACCTTCTTTAGTCTCTACCTGCGTCTCACATTACACATCAATAAATCCTATCTGCAGTCAAAAATTTAGCTACTACTTACACTGAAATGATCCCTATAGTCTTCTGCATTCATCCATGTATATTTAGGATACAGAAATCACAAAGTAGATTAATTTGGGACATTTAATATAAAATATTAAAATATAATAAAGAGTAAAATAATAGTACATTAAAAAAAGGTTGTCTGGAAATCCAGGCTAAAGAAGAATGCTCAGAGAAAGGAAAATTTAGAAGGGACATTGCACCCAATGAATGAACTGACTAGAAAATTGTTAAACTGTAGCTAATATTCAATTGAGCACTTTAATAATTTGTGAGGAGGGTGGAAATTAGTTTAAGCATTCGGCAGTTGGAAAAAAACAAGTTTGAGGACATATTTGGAGGCTATCAGGGATATTTGCTTTGGCTATGGGTGTTATTCATAGGTAAAAGATGATATCCAAGCATAGTATATTATATACACTAGTTATTTATACTATTCTGTGTATCAATTATATGTTCTTAAAACTTCGTTATGCAGCCACCATGAGGCAAGAGTAATGCCCTGAGCTACAGGTGGTGAGCAAGTGATCTGAAGCCAGTGAAGCGAGCCTTGGAAGGGCCCAGAAGTTCCTGGCACACAGACAGAATATGGTGGGTAAGAGAACAGGCTGCAGAGGGAATCTGGGTATCTGTGTGGGCAGGAAGTCCACAGGGACTCCAGGATGAGATGTCTTCAAGGTGCTAGTTTCTGTTTAAGGAGGATCCAATAAAGGTTATTGCTAGACTAAAGTTCCAGTGGCATTGATGATCCAGCATATTCTGGATCCAAGCCTGAGGAAGTGCTTCAGCTGATGTCTTCCCACTCACACTGCCAACATCCACCATCTCCTTTAGTACCACAGGCAAACCAAGCAGGAGAGCTGCCTCCCCTGTGAGTGTCCAGGCACATCCCCTACACATATAACTGAAAGCCGTACTCACATTAAAGGAGAAGTCTTCACAGGAATTTCATCTAGCATCACAGAGCATGAACAGAAGGGTGGATCTGAAGCTGACAGGCAGTAAACTGGAAACATTCCAATTGGTACATTCTCTCTTCAAAGTTCCAGAGGCTCTGCAGTAGAAACAGATTTCCCTGGAAAACATTCATTTGTTTCCTGGCTCGCTCGTTTGTGCATTGTAGGATCATGGAAATGTCCTCGACCTGAATGCACTTCAGTTTCTGTGACTGCCAAATGGAAATAAAAATAACTTCATATTTTTTAAAAAATTTAAAGAGTCCTACAGAAACTATATAGGAATTACAAAGAAGATAGCAGAAATCCTCATATCCAATGACAACACATTCTACTACTTTCCCCCATTATTATCTGAGTATGGGCATTCCAAATGATAGCTCTCAGATTTTTGTATGCACATTTTTGATGTTTTATTTACCAAAATTTTTGTTTTGTTTTTGGTTTTATGTTTTGTTTTTTTTTGTTTGTTTGTTTGTTTGTTTGTTGGGTTTTTGTTTGTTTGTTTTTGACAGGCAGAGCGGACAGTGAGAGAGAGAGACAGAGAGAAAGGTCTTCCTTTTTGCTGTTGGTTCACCCTCCAATGGCCGCCGCGGCCGGCGCACCGCGCTGATCCGAAGGCAGGAGCCAGGTGCTTCTCCTGGTCTCCCATGGGGTGCAGGGCCCAAGCACTTGGGCCATCCTCCACTGCACTCCCAGGCCACAGCAGAGAGCTGGCCTGGAAGAGGGGCAACCAGGACAGAATCCAGCGCCCCGACTGGGACTAGAACCCAGTGTGCCAGCACCGCAAGGCAGAGGATTAGCCTAGTGAGCCGCGACGCCGGCCTATTATTTACCAAAATTTTATGATTTAGTTTATCTAGATAAATCTATATAAAGAGTCATGTATTTCATAATAAATTTTCAATCACCAATTTCTCTCAGGAAATAAACTATCATATAATTTAGCTTACTGCTCTTTATTGAGGCAGTGTATTAAATAATGAGTTTGTAAAAACACAGAATAACTAGCATTGTGATATAACAGGTAAAGCTGCTGCCTGCAATGCCAACATCCCATTTGGGTGCTGGTTGGTGTCCCGGTGCTCCACTTCTGACCCAGCTTCCTGTAATGGCCTGAAAAAAATCAGCAAAAGATGGCCCAAGTGCTTAAGCCCTGGCCAACTATGTGAGAGACCTGGAAGAAGCTCCTGGCTCCTAGTTTCCACCTGGCCCAGCACTGGCTGTTGTAGCTATCAGGGAGTGAAACAGCAGGTAGAAGATCTTTCTCTCCTTCTCTCTGTATTTCCCCTTCTCTCTCTGTAATGTTTAAAAAAATACATGTTTTTAAAAAATACATAATCAAACAATATGTCACATGGCTTGTCTTCACTGCATATTTTAAAGCTTAGTTCAAAATTCATTGAAATTACAACTCAAGGCTGGAGCCGCGGCTCACTAGGCTAATCCTCCCCCTGTGGCACCTGCACCCTGGGTTCTATTCCCAGTTGGGGCACTGGATTCTGTCCCGGTTGCGCCTTTTCCAGTCCAGCTCTCTGCTATGGCCTGCGAGTTCAGTGGAGGATGGCTCAAGTCCTTGGCCCTGCACCCGCATGGGAGACCAGGAGAGGCACCTGGCTCCTGGCTTCAGATCAGCATGGTGCGCCGGCCCCAGTGTGCTGGCCGCAGCTGCCATTGGAGGGTGAACCAACGGCAAAGGAAGACCTTTCTCTCTGTCTCTCTCTCTCACTGTCCACTCAGCCTGTCAAAAAAAAAAAAAAAAAGAAAAGAAAAAAGAAAAAAACAAATTACAACTCATAACTTGAAAAAATGTAAGCTCATTAAATAGGGAGAAAGTAAATTTCCAAATTCCAAGCAACAACAGAATTCCCATAGAAAAGTAACATCAGTCTCTAGGTGTGACCATACTGCAACTGAAGTCTAGTGTATGGATGAGTAATGTGACATTTGAAGGACCACCCTGATTCAGGACATCACGCTATAAAAGTGTAAGAATACCCCAGTAAAAGAAAATGTAAGTTTCTGCTTTTTACCTATTTTCCAAATTTAATTAAACAGTTAAGTGTATTTATGATGTTTTGATACATGGGTGCTTTTTTGGAATGACTAAATTAACCTACGAAAGGCATTCATTACCCACTTATTTTTTGTGAGAATATTCTACTCTCAGTGTATTCAAATATAAAATATGAAGGGACATCAAAAAGTTTGTGCAAATAGAATTAAAAGATAAAAATAAGGTATATAAACATTTCTCAACATACAATCCATCAAGTTTCAAGATAATTCTCTTTTTTCCAATATTTTATTAAAATACAGTGTACATATCATGAAATGCAGATAGTTACGTGAGTTATAGAGTTATAGATATATGAGTTTATATAGATAAATGAGATTTTGGTCCCTGATAAACTCATAGCCAATATTCAAATTAAGAACAACACCTTACGAGTACTTCAAGAGTTCAAGACACATTTCTAAGCAATATTAGTCATTTGGCCTATGACTTAAAGAAAAGAAAAACAAAAGCAAAACCTGAGAGCCCTGGGAAGTTAACCATATCAATATAGTCTTTTTTAAATAATCATTGAACAAAAAGTGAGTATCATTTAAAGATGTTTAAAGAATAGGGTAAAATAGTTATGAGAATAAATAATGATTTCTCATCAAAACCCATGCAAAACTGTCCTTTTTTTGGGGGGGGGAGAATATGCAGAGTTAGACAGCAAGAGAGAGAGACAGAGAGAAAGATCTTCCTTCCCTGGGTTCATCCCCCAGATGGCCGCTACAGCCGGAGCTGCACGGATGCGAACCCAGGAGCCAGGTGCCTCCTCCTGGTCTCCCATGGGGTGCAGAACCCAAGCACTTGGGCCATCATCCACTACCCTCCCGGGCCACAGCTGAGAACTGGACTGGAAGAGGAGCGACTGGGACAGAATCCGGTGCCCCAACCGGGACTAGAACCAGGTGTGCAGCGCCGCAGGCAGATTAGCCTAGTGAGCCATGGCGCTGGCCTACTCTAGCAGTTTTAAAATATTAATTATTCATACACATGAACATGGCATGCTTTCCCTTTTCTGTCTTCTATACTTTCTTTCACTAAAGTTTTATAATTTTCATTGAAGATATTTCAGCATTGGTTAGTTTTATTGATAAGAATTTAATTATTTTTGTAGCTGTTATAAGTGGACTATTTTTCTTGATTTCTTTTTCAGACACTTGTTAGTGTATCAAAATGCTAGTTTTATTGCATTTGTTAATTTTGTATACTGAAACTTTCTTGGATGTATTTATTAGTTCTACAAATTTTTTGATGGAATCTTTAGGTTTACTATATATAAGATAATGTCACCTGCAAAGAAAAAGAAAATAACTTAATTCTTCATTTCTCATTTGTATGCCTTTTTTTCTCTTTTATTTTCATAATTGCTTTAGTTAGGATTTTCAGTGTTTTGTTCAATAGGAGTACCGTGTCTTCTTCCTTGTCTTACAGGAAAAGCTTTCAATATTTTGCAATTGAGTTTGATCTACATACTTATTATATATGCACTTTGTTGTGTTGAGGTACATTCATTCAATATCTAATTTCTTGAGAGTGTTTATTATAAAGGCTGTTGAAATTTGTTGACTGTCTTTTCTGCATCAATTGAGATGATATGTTTTTTGCCCTTCATTCTGTAAACGTTGGGTATCACATTTATTGATTTGAGAGTGTTGAATCATGCTTGCATCTCAGGGATATATCCCATCTGATCTGAGAAATGATCCTTTTAATGTGCAGTTGAGTTTAGTCTGCTAGTATTTTGTTCAGAATTTTTGCATTTATGATTATCATGGATAATGATCTGTAATTTCCTTTTCTTGTAGTGTTCTGACTGGATTTGCTCTCAGGGTAATGCTGTCATCATAAAAGAAATGTAGAAATATTCCTTTTTCAATTTTGTAGAAGATTTCAGAGGGAGTGATCTTAGTTCTTCATTAAATGTTTGGTAGCATTCATCCATGAACACATCAGTTCTTATGCTTTCCTTTGATGGGAGGCTTTTTATTTGATTCATTCTCCTTATTTCTTATTGAGATGTTTATGTTTTCTATTTCATTGTGAATTGCTTTAAATAGGTTGTATGTATCTAGAAATGTATTCCTTTTTTCTATATTACCTACTTTGTTGCCATAAAATTGTACATAGTTGCACTTTCTAATCCTTTGTTTTTCTCTTATAAGTTATTATGTCACCTTATCTCTTTCCCATTCTGTTTATTTCTGTCTTTGCTTTTTTGTTAGTCTAATATTTTGTCAATTTAATAGAACATTTCAAATAACCATCTTTCAGTTTCACTGGTTTTTTATATTATTTTATTCCATTTTTCATTATTTCTACTGTGATATTTTAATTAGTGAATGAATTAATTTTAATATTAAGATAGTAGATTTAAGGTAGTTCATAGATACAATTATACAAATCCAGTGATATTTCCCTTCCTATCTCTCTCCCTACTCTCTCATTCTCTTCCTTTCTTCCTAGCCCCCTCCTTCCCTCTCTTACTCATTTCTTTTTTTCTTCTTTAAATTTTCTACTCCGATCTTTAACATTTCCTTCCTCTACTAACTTTGGACTTAGTATTTTTTTTCTCTAGACTCTCAAGTTGTGGAGTTAGAGTAATTATTTAGGATCACACTTCCTTTTCTTTTCTTCTTATTTATTTATTTATTATTTATTTGAAATAGTTATAGAGAGAGGTAGAGACAAAGAGAGAGGTCTTCCATCTGCTAGTTCACTCCCCAATTGACCACAATGGCTGGAGCTGCACTGATCCTAAGCCAGGAGCCAGGAGCTTCTTCTGGGTCTCCCACGTGGGTACAGGGACCCAAGTTTTGGGGCCATCTTCTACTGCCTTCCCAGGCCATAGCAGAGAGCTGGATTGGAAGAGGAGCAGCCTCTATGGCCAGAGCTACGCCGATCCGAAGCCAGGAGCCAGGTGCTTTCTCCTGGTCTCCCATGCGGGTGCAGGGACCCAAGCATTTGGGCCACCCTGCACTGCCTTCCCAGGCCACAGCAGAGAGCTAGACTGGAAAAGGAGCAACCAGGGCTAGAACCCGGCAACACAGAGCCACAGAGCCACAGAGCCGCCCCTAAGGGTGAGTCCAGGAGGACTAGAACTGGCACCAATATGAGATGCCAACACTGCAGGTGATGGCTTTTCCCACTACCCCACAGCGCTGCCCCCTATCTCCAACTATTTTTCATTTCCCTTTAATTTATTCATTCACCTGTTAGTTATTAAGATCATGAGTTTTATTTTTTCAGCAAAATCCGAGATCAACTCTATTCATCATTGCACTACATTTGACAACACCCATGAATTCTCTGCAGTTTCCTACACTGGTCTTTTTTCTGGAAATCCAGAAGTGCTAACTTTAACAGTAGGTGAGCTGCATCAAAACTCACCCTTAGGGGCGGCTCTGTGGCTCACTTGATTAATCCTCCACCTGCAACACTGGCATCCCATAGAGGCACCGGGTTCTAGCCCTGGTTGCTGCTTTTCCAGTCTAGCTCTCTGCTGTGGCCTGGGAAGGCAGTGGAGGATGGCCCAAATGCTTGGGTCCCTGCACCCGCATAGGAGACCAGGAGGAAGCACCTGGCTCCTGGCTTCGGATCAGCATAGCTCTGGCCATAGAGGCCATTGCGGGGGGGGGGGGGGGGGTGAACCAACGGAAGAAAGAGCTTGCTCTCTCTCTCACTGTCTAACTCTATTTGTAAAAAAAAAAAAAAAAAAAAAAAAAAAAAAAAAAAAAAAAAAAAAACACCAGGCATTGTGGCTTAGGAGGTAAAGTTGCCACCTGCGATGCCAGCATCCCATATGGGTACTAGTTTGTATCCTGGCTGCTCCAATTCCAATCTCCAGCTTCCTGCTAATGGTCTGGGAAAACCAGGGGAAGATGGCCCAAGTGCTTAGGCCCTTGCCACCCATGTGGGAGACCTGGAAGAAGCTCCAGACTCCTGGCTTCTGCCATCTGCAGAGTGAACCAGCTGATGGAATTCTCTCTCTCTCTTTCTCTCTCTCTCTCTCTCCTTTTCTATGGCTCTAACTTGCAAATAAATATAAATCTTTCTAAAAAAATGCACTCTTAAAGCATAATTATCTTCTTTCTGAGTCCAGAAGGATTAGTAGTTACTTACCCCAGCTTTCCAGGCCATATCGGCTTTATCCAGTTTGCCAAGGTACCTTAAATTATTCTTTACTCATGGAATCACTAAATTGCAAAGTCAAACAAATGATATATATCAATAATTTATGGCTGTATTCTGATAAGTTTTTTTTCACACTCCTCTAACCATTAAAATCTTCTTATTTTGCAAAGTCTATTACTCTTTAAATTCTGCCCACCCAGGAAGTGTTTCTAGAGAAAACATAAATTAAAATAATTCTAATTCTTCCTCACAAAATAGCTTTCAAAGTATACAGAGACACAAATATAGAGAGAACATGGTATGGTAAAGAGTTTAAAGAAAACTTTGTGAGCACAGTAAAAATATATACTAAAAGAGTAATCACCTATCAGTGAAAAAAAGATAGTTTCTTTAATAGGTAATATTAGAGAAACCAGCTCAATAGAGTGAAAAATGAAATTGCAACATCACTTACAGGGTGAAATATAGGTGGATTAACAATTGAAGTGAGACATGTAAAACTTGTGATCCTTCTACTTTTTATTTATTGAGTACTATGGTTAGTGTTGTATTAAGCCTGTGATTATACACTAGACTGAAAATATGTTTTTTCAAAAATTTAAGGAAAGAGGGAGGTGGGGAGGGAGGCAGGGAGTGAAGTTTTGTTGCATTCTTAGAACTGTGCCTATGAAACCTATTCTGAATATTAATAACAAATTTTTAAAAATAAATGAAAATATAGAATATTTTGGACATAAAATTGGATGTGCCCTCATTTAAAAATCCTATAAAATCATAAGTCATGGGATTAAAATTTATAAACATTGTGGTACAGCAAGTTAAGCCACTACTTTGACTCCTGAGTTTTTGTTCTGAGTCCTGTTTACTCTGCTTCCAATACATATTCCTGCTAATGCAATCCTTGGATGGCATAACTGCCACCATGAGTCCCTGCTACCCAAGTGGGAGATACAGACTAGTTTCCTGAGCTTCTGATTTCAGCATGGCCCAGTCCTAACTATTGCAGATACTTGAGGAGTGAATCAATGGTTCAAAAATCTATCTCTCTCTCATTCTCCCCTCTCTCCTTTACTCTGTCACTCAGCCTTTCAAAAAATACTTTTTAAAAAAATAAATAAGATCCATTTTCAATTATATGTACAATATACAAATATAAACAAATAGCAGTTTGGTATACAATATTTGCAATATCTAAAAATGTCAAGGGAATTTATTAATAGTATTTAATGAACTAAAAAAAAAGGGAAAGAAAGAAAGAGGAACCTCACTGGGATTATGAGTAGAGGATATGGAATATTCTCCTATGCTGCTTCCCCAGGCACGTTAGCAGGGAGCTGAATTGGAAGTGGAGCAGCCAGGAAATGAATCAGTGCCCATAAGGGATGCTTACGTTGCAGGCAGCGGCTTGACCTGCTGAGTCACAGTGCCAGTGCCTTATCGATACTTTTAATATTTTTGCATGAAACAAAGTTTCATGGTAGGGCTTAAGATAATTATTCAATAATTTCAGATGTTTAAGCATTTCAGATTTCAGATTTTCAGATTAGAAGTGCTCAACTGATACAATTATAAACTCTCTTGGTATGTTTGCAAAGTGAAATTGGATGATTTCTTAAAAACTACAAAAGTTGCAGATGGCTATGAATGTAAGAAAGGGGTAAGAATGAAAATTAAAGAAGTACACAAAAGAACATACCTATAGTTGTAGATAGATATTGATGTAGATATAGATATAGATATAGATATAGGTATATACTAAACAAAAAACAAAACAATTTTAAAAAATAAACAGAAAACAGCCTGTATGGACAAACAATTAATGTGATAGCAATAGAAGACATATTAGCTCAGTCTTCTACACTTGAAGAAAAACATGTTTGAGGACACCAAGTTTACCTGATAGAAGTATAACTAACCTTACTTTCTTTTATAGAAAAACTCTTCTATTTAATAACCATCTATGTATGTCCTTGGACACATTGTTTTACCTACATTTTTGTTTCTCTATAATTTTATTTCCCTCTGATACCCATGACCTGTTAGCTTTGACGCAAATTTTTGGCTTATCAGCACAACCTTGCTCACAATCCTTTTCTTTATCCACCTTCAAGTTAGAATGACCATATGACTCTGTAGCAAACAGCAGTGGGTAGTCAAATGTTTTCCAGACAGGTTTCCTTTCAAAAATAAAAAGCAAATGGTCATTTAAAAAATAATCCTAAGTCTCTTCATCTTTTGATGCTCTTCTTCCCTGCTGGAAACTGAGCATGATGTTGCTCATACATAGCAACCACTTTGAAACCAGGAGTGCAATAGCCACACAAGAGTGAGGAACAGGAAGAGGCAAGGATCCTTGAACAGTTGTAGCAGTGTTATCTCTTATCTGCTCATTCCAAGACTTCTTAGTGCACATATTTCAGAAGTTGTTAATTTTAAATGTGTATCATTGCTTATTTTACTATGAATCAAATTCAAGATAAAGCCAATCACTTTCACACAAGTGCATTAACCTCATGTGTATATTCCTTTTCTCGTGGATATTTCTATTCTAATCCTTTATGCATTTAAGATGCATTTGGGGGTATGATATTTTGTTTACATATAAAAGTAATTAACACTCAAGAAATTCGGAAAATGAAAAAGAGTCAATGTCTGGATTCACACAATAAAATACCTAGTCATATCTTGAGTTGTGATCACTCATTCAGCTTTCTTGGAGACCAAAACTCTGAAATTAATGGTGCAATTGATATAAAGGAAACCAGGCTTCAAAGCAAATATTGTCTTTTATTAAAAGACTGAAACAATTACATAATTATGCTATGTTTCTATAGATAACTACAGAACAGAGACACAGATATAAAATTTACATTTTAAAATGATCAAATAAATCTTCAATGATTTGAGAAACTCCTCAGTCCAAATCAAGAGCAAACAGATATTTTGACACTAATTCAGGTGTCTGGAATAATGTAATCAACCTACTTTGTTATAAATGTGGGGGGATATCAATTGTACTTGGCATTGGGGTGGTCGTTTGAAAGGCAAAGGATAATTCTTCATGATGATTAGCAGCAAGAGGTACAGCATCTCCTGTAGCAAGATGGTCTGTAGCCATGGCCACTGGAGCCACAGCCACAGCCACAGCAGGAGCTGTATCCACAACCATATCCATGTCCAGTCCTAAATCCACAGCCGGTGTTGTATCCACAGCCAGAGCTGTATCGACAGCCATAGCCACAGCCAGAGCTGTATCGACAGCCATAGCCACAGCCAGAGCTGTATCTGCAGCCAGAGCCAGAGCCAGAGCCATTCTTGGAGCCACAACCAGAGCTGAATCCACAGCCATAACCATAGCCAGAGCCATATCCACAGCCATGGCGATAGCCACGGCCTCCACAGCAGTTTCCATAGTAGTTGCAACACATGATGTCAGAAGATGAAGTTTCAGGTGAGGTGTAGGAAGATACTACTGATGTTTGAATGCAGGAACTCTTCCAAGACCTTTATATACTCACTGGGATGGATGGGTCATACTCACATGGGCTCTCCTCTCTCATTTTACAAACATGTACCTGAAATGACTTCATTATGTGTACAAGCATTTTGTTAGGAACTCGTCATTTACTACTGCTTCCCTAGCAACTTTCTTTGGGCTTAAACTAAAATAAAGGTACCAAACACATACAAACATAATTTTGCTTTAAAAATTTCATTTCATGACCGTGACATGCATGAATGACCTATAAATAAGTGTTTGTTTTTCATGCTCCCTTCAAGTCCTTGGTAATAACTTTTATACAGGACATCCTACTCAATGCTAGTACTATCTTATGATCTTCTTCATTATCATTATTTTGTTTTACTTTTTTCCACATAGTGAACACTGTGCATTACTTGTCAAGACAAGAAATTGAGTATTTCAACATTCTACATTCACTTCCTGAAACACTCTCCTTTCTGTGTGTAAGATTCTGCCTTCTCTCCTTTTCCTTCTCTTTTTTCTCTGCATCAAAAATGTTGTGAAACTCCTCACAAGTAGGATATTTAGCAGTATTTATTCTTGAAAGGACAATCTTCTCCAGGGTTTCAATTTAGAGGGGAGAAAACACCTTTGTTAAACATCTTCTTTGTTGTTGAAGTTGAATTAAGTCCACCTTCATAGTCTGCCTAGAAATGTACTCACCCTACTCTGATGTTGGTGCTGTATATCAATTATTACAACTAAAATATATTTAATTACCAACTGTTTAGTTTTCTGACGAGTAGAGTAGATTGGAAAAGGTAAGTTGCTGATAAAAGGGTACCAAAACTCAGTTGGACTAGAAAATAAGACTCAGTGATCTATTGGCAGAATAGTGACTACAGGAAATGATGACACATTATATACTTCAAATCACAAGAGTGATTTTACATCCAAAATTATAAGAATGGGAGGTTGTGAATGTGCCTATCAACTTGATTTAATCATTCCCGAATAAATTCTTGTTTGGAGCCTCTGCTGTCTTCTCTGAAACAGCATATGAATAATGATATTTATTTATGTTACTTTCACTGGATCCTGACAATTATCGCATTAGTACTAGCTGACCTCTTGGTGAGGTTCCTTATCCATCCTTTACTTGATAGTATTTTCTCCCATTGTCTGCATGACAAATGGTTTTCTGGTCTATGACTCTCTTTTACTGGCAGTTCTTAATTGAATTTCCTCCACCTTGGTCTTCTTGTGGTACTTTACTCTCCAACTTTGCTCTTGAATTTACACACCAGTAAATCTTCTCTGGTGCCACCAAGTCATATACCATGTATACTAATGATTTCTACAATTAAAGATCTCTATATTAGCAGTGGTCTGATCAGTAACATAAAGCACACTATTGGTCAATCATATACAATTATTATAAAAGAATCATTAAATGTAATTAAATAAAACTCCAATATGTAGGGAATACCTAGTACTTTAAGGCTAAGTTGTAATATGTAAGGAACAAAATACTAAGAAGTGAAAATATACCCACTGAATAAATTGGTTTGAAAAATTTTGTGCTGCAATTAACAATACTGCATGGTGAACTTAAAAGTTTTGTGAAGAGATTTGATGTAAGGTAAGTATTCTGACCGCTAGAGAAAAAAAAAAAAAAAAACAGGAGGAGACTTCTGGAAGAGATGGATGGCTATTACACCTGTTTGCAGTTACTGATTCTTATGAGATTGTAAACAGTACATGCATGTGATATTTAATATCAATTATATGTCAATAAAGGTCACAAATAAATAAACAATGAAATGAACTTTATAATCCACCACTGGGCAGGCAAAAGCAACTTTGTCAGTCAGGTGGTAAACAAGGATCTTCTTGAAGGCTTAGGGAAGGTCTGGGAGGTGCTGACACACAGACTGTGTTAGTAGACAGAGCAGGCTGCAGAGGGAATCGGGATGGGCAGGAGGCCCTTGGGGCTTGTGAGTGAGAATTATTCAAGGCACTAGATTCTGTCTAGGGAGAGTCAAATAAAGGTTATTGCTAGATTGAAGTTCCAGTGCCATCGAGAATCCAGTACATTCTGGACCCAAGAATGAGGTACAGCTTCAGCTGACATCTTCCCTCTCACTCTAACACCATCTAAACCAGCCAACCCAAGCTTCCCTCTGCAGTGTCCACACATATCCCCTACTGACAAAGCTGGCGTTTGTGCTCATATTAAAGGAGAAATGCTTAAAAGAATCTCATTTAGCATCATAAATTGAAGGGTGGGTTTGAAGTGGAGAGGCAGTAATGGATTACAGCTACAGTTCCTCATCCAAGTTCCAGAGGCTCTGCAGTAGAAACAGCTTTCCCTGGCAAATATTGATTTGTTTCTTGGCTGAGTCATTTGCTAACTGCAAGACCATGGAAATGTCCTCAACCTGTATGAACTCAGTTTCTACCACCGCCAAATGGGAATAAAAATAACTTCATAGCAATCTTGTGGCTCTCTGGGGATGCAGAAATTTACTTTCTTTCCATTTAATATGTTGACATTATCACAAAATAGATGTTGGTGACTACAGTGGATTTTCTTAGTTACTGAGCTTCAAAATATGTCATGAATCCAAGCCCTGCAGTGTATCACTTGATCCATTATTTTTTTTTTTTTTTTTTGACAGGCAGAGTGGACAGTGAGAGAGAGAGACAGAGAGAAAGGTCTTCCTTTTGCCGTTGGTTCACCCTCCAATGGCCGCCGCGGCCGGCGCGCTGCGGCCGGCGCACCGCGCTGATCCGATGGCAGGAGCCAGGAGCCAGGAGCCAGGTGCTTTTCCTGGTCTCCCACGGGGTGCAGGGCCCAAGCACCTGGGCCATCCTCCACTGCACTCCCTGGCCACAGCAGAGGGCTGGCCTGGAAGAGGGGCAACCGGGACAGAATCCGGCGCCCTGACCGGGACTAGAACCCGGTGTGCCGGCACCGCTAGGCGGAGGATTAGCCTAGTGAGCCGCGGCGCCGGCCTTGATCCATTAATTTTATAAAAATATTAGTGCTTAAAATGTTTCACCAAAGTACAGGGAAGAGAAAGACATGGTAATTCATTTTATGAGGGAGTTTGGTGACATTTGGAAATTTATTATGAAAAAATTATTTGATGTACACATTCAGATACATATATATACTATATTTTAATTGATAGCCACATTAAAATAAATCTTAAAATTTTAGTAAATTTAAAGGTAATCATCTCTGGACACCTTTCAAACTGGCCAAGCTACAAAAGTTGTTTCTTTCACCTTTTACCATTGCTTTTAAGAGCATATCACTTTTTGTCAGAGTCTAGCTCTATGTCTCACATATGTTTAAGGTATAGAATCACTGTTTTCTTTTTTTTTATTTTTTATTTTTTTGACAGGCAGAGTGGACAGTGAGAGAGAGAGAGAGACAGAGAGAAAGGTCTTCCTTTGCCGTTGGTTCACCCTCCAATGGCCGCCGCGGCCAGCATGCTGCGGCCGCCGCACCGCGCCGATCGGATGGCAGGAGCCAGGTACTTATCCTGGTCTCCCATGGGGTGCAGGGCCCAAGCACTTGGGCCATCCTCCACTGCACTCCTGGGCCACAGCAGAGAGCTGGCCTGGAAGAGGGGCAACCGGGAAGAATCCGGCGCCCTGACCAGGACTGGAACCTGGTGTGCCAGCACCGCAAGGCGGAGGATTAGCCTAGTGAGCCGCGGCGCCGGCAAGAATCACTGTTTTCTAAAAATTAGAGCTGTAATGCAGCTATTTCTGTATTTCCTCCTAAATTTAATTTAACTTATTCCAAAATCCCTGAACAAATGATAATGTAGCTCAAACTCAAAGATACTCAGAGCTACATAATCTATTCTAACATCAAATTCCAATTTTGAACTCATGTTTTTAAAAAGCTGTCATATATTGAGAAGTCTGCCCCTTGTCATTCATACTTGTTTATCTAATCCTAGCTCCTAGAAATAGAAGACTAATAATAATTCATCTTCTGTATAATAACTTTTAAAATATTTAAGGGAAAATTGCATCTCTGTCTACAGCATGAAGTCCTATGAGACCCACACTTGGTGTTTTATATCATAGCCCCTTCATCATTCCCCTCACTTTCTGAGTTACCCTTGAAAATCTCCAGTTAAACCATAGAACATACCATCTCAATTATTGCAACATCTTCTTAAAATGACATCTTTACTTCTTTCCTGCACAGTCTAGTCCACAACATATTTGCAAATGCTATGGAAATGGTAAAGTTTTTGTTGTCCGATTTTAAGGGACACTATATAATGATTAAGGGACCAATTCAACAGAAAGATATAACAATTATCAATGTATATGCACCTAACTACAGGGCACTGGTTTATTTAAAAGATTTGTTAAGGAACTTAAAGGGAGACTTAGACCCCAATACAATAGTACTGGAGGACTCCAATACTCCACTCTCAGAAATAGACAGATCAACAGGACAGAAGATCAACAAGGATACAGTAGATTTAAATGACACTATAGTCCAAATGGATCTAACAGATATCTATAGAACTTTCAATCCTACAGCTAAAGATTTTACATTCTTCTCAGCAATACATGGAACCTTCTCTAGGATTGACCACATACTAGGCCATAAAGCAAGTCACAGCAAATTCAAAAGAATTAGAATTATACCATGCAGCTTCTCAGACCATAAAGGAATGAAGTTGGAAATTAGCAACTCAGGAATCCCTAGAGCATACGCAAACACATGGAGATTGAACAACATGCTCCTGAATGAACAATGAGATATAGAAGAAATTAAAAGAGAAATCAAAAATTTTCTGGAAGTAAATGAGGATAACAACACAACATATCAAAGCTTATGGGATACAGCAAAAGCAGTGTTAAGAGGAAAGTTTATATCAATAGGTGCCTACATCAAGAAATTGGAAAGGCAGCCAATTTGATGAGCTTTCAGTTCACCTGAAGGATCTAGAAAATCTACAGCAAACCAAACC